CTCGGCCTACGCCAACACTTCAGCCGGAGAAGGAGTGAATGTGAAGGAAGCCAACAAAGAGGTGAATGCTTTACTGCGCTCACCGCCTTACATATCTTTTGGAGCTGGAACATTATATGATGGTACGAAAAGCAATGGAATTGGCATTCCATCACTAATCGAAAATCCGGCTCTGGATACATTCGATCCCAGTAATGCTCTACGAAGCGCCGGAAGACTTGAACCTCTTAGTATGAATACGAGAGACAACATTACAAATTCATTCGTAGCACCGGGTACGTTAAATGAAGAAGGAAATAGAGAAGGAAATTTGAGAACTGGTGCATTTCTGGCTCCAAATACGTTTACATATCCTCATACCAGTGGGTCGTTAATCAATCCTGGGTATGGAATCTACTGGTTTATGAGTCCACCAGGACCTAGCCAACCAGGAGAATCAGTATACTTTTATCTACCTCCAGCGGGAAATATTCATCCTGTCCCCTCAGCCTTTCCACAGCCAGAAATATGTTGTCCTGCAGACAGTCGACGTTCTTTTGAGACTATGACTGATACCAGCGGTGCAATGGGCGCCGTTGCTGAAGCTACGGGACCAGAAGCTGAAAAGGAAAAATCAGTTGACATTCATCCTGCATTTCTTTTACATTCGCCCTTACCCAGTTTCCTCCAGCCAAACCCTGTAGCTGAACTAGGTTCTAAAGACCGACAAAACAGGATTCAACAACAAAATCTGCATACAATGCAACTTATGTACACTGATCAAGTCAATTCACCTGGAGCGCAGCAAGCCCAATATCATAATTATATTCAGAGACAGCAGTTACCTCAAATTCATTCTCAGCTGGATTTGACACTTCCACAAGGTCCAGCATTGCTACAATGTCCATTAGGTGATACTGGAGGCCTCCTAGCCCTCCCAACGGGAGTTTTACCAAGTCAAATGTTGGCATCTGGTTTATTTGACCAAGCAACTATCCAACCAGGAGCAGCCGTATATGCAAACGGATCGACTGAACTGATAAAAAACCCTGAAGTTGGACAAAGGACCCAATCGATGACAGGTCGTCAGCCCCGTCAGTCTGAGTCAAGTCTAAACGTAACAAGCCTCCCAGCAAATAATGACAGTCGTCTATTACCAGTATCATCCTCAATGTTTTCTTCTACGATTTCCAAAGCTTCAAGTCTGACTGGAAATCATTGTGCGCAAATTCCAGATTCCAGAGCTGAAGGAGCCTTGACTAGCCTATCTGCACTCAGATCAAATAGAAGCGAAGATGGCTGCATAGAAAAGCTGGATAAGTCAAACTCAAACCTAGATTATGTAAAATCAGAAGCTATTGGGAACGTTCACACTTCTACATCAGTAGTGCAAAGACCTAAGAGGGTATGCAAGCTTTAATATCTCAATTATTATCATATATATATATATATATAAAGTATATATCATAAAGTATAAAATCTGGTCAAAAAACTTAATTAAACAAAGTATGGTATTTTAAATCCATAGGGCTCTATGATTTAACCTACTGTTATTAGATCGTAATGTATTTGACTTAACACAAATGACCTGAAGTGCTCCATTATATATTTAATATATTTGACTCCCTGATATAAAATTCTTTAATTTAAATAGATAAATATGCTAAATAGGTTTAATTATGGTTTACTTGCTTATACAATTAGTCAGTAGTTTAAAAGTCATTAGCATACATAAGTCATTATAACTAAATGTTTTATAAGTAAGATCAAACTAATTAGATTTGAATACAATTTTATTTGCTTCTTCCTTAGTATTTAGAATATTATTGTGTTCTTAATTAAAAATTAAGTAAGTCTATCAATTAAATATTAAAATTACCATTTACTATTTATCATTATGGAAAATATCTCTCCGTTCAGGATATATAAGATGTAGTGTGAAAACCAACTTTTTAGTGAAAAATAAGTTTCATGATATTTACAAATAGATTTGGGGGAAAATATATTTAACTCAAATAATTAAATATATAATTAGTTTGATTAAATAAATTTAAAAAAGTATACATTAAATAATATTGGCATTCAAAGTAAAATATATCTGAAGATTAAGAATAAATACTTAAAAATGAATCTGATTATGCAAAATAGTATTATTGCACTTAGAAGCTTAGCCAGCTGGAATCTATCAAAGCTAGGCAAATTGTTCATCATGCATAAATTTAAGACAATTCTGCAGCCATATATTTGAATCAAGGAGATAAATTATAATATTTACCATAAACCTGAATTTACAATCTTATTTGTAAAAATTTCTCTATAATAAAATCAATACGTTTCAAATATTTAGCACGCAAAATTTTGCCTTCAATTTTTATCCCACCTTATGAGGTACTTTTGAAAGTAATTCTGCCTTAATTTTCATTATTTTATACTGATATTTTATTGGCAAAATTAGTTTTAAGTGATTCTCATATAAATTACAATCTGAGATACTTTATATAACTACCTCTATCTGATATACTAAATCAAATTAGATAATTACTTGATAGATACGGGCCTTTAAATAAGTAGGCTTCATTAAATATGTATCAAATTTAATCAAGATAACTATGCTGCACAGTTCAAAACTATTTCACTATGGAACGAAGTGTTCTAATGGACAAAATTGCAATATATTAGCCCAGCTATTTGAAAGATCTAAGTTACTAAATTGTTTCTATTAATTTTAAAATATAAGAGACTCAGTTCATATTTTTAATACAATAATGTTTGGAAAGGCCCAATAAAAGTATTTAAATTATAGGATTGAGATGCAAATGTTTACTACACTTAGTGAACACTTTGATAAGCAATTAAATCAAATTAACTGAGATAAAGCTATAATTTCTATACTAGTGAGAGATTACATTAACATTCTATAAAAAATCCGGGAAACTTTGATATTTAATAATCATGTAGTACCTGAAAATTAAATTGTTAAGATTTTTCAAATCTATTGTAAATTTTAATGGAAATTACTCTGTTAATGTAAGTTATTAGATGTAGCCATATAAAAATAGCTTCTTACATATATAAAAGGTTTCCCCTTAATAAATAATAAAAAAAGCAATCAATTTAATAATCATTTAAAATATTTCTATTTTTATAGCATTCATCAAAAACTAATCTCTATATCCGTGGTCTTCCGGTTGCATTTACGGAAGAGCAACTATTTATGCTTGCTCCTGATAGATCTTTAATTCGATCGGTTAAGCTTGTTATCGGACCAGAAAAGGAATGTAAGTCTTTTATTTTTATTAAAAAAGCCTTTTATCTAAGCCCAAGTAAATTTTTTTCCTAAACAATTTTTTGCATATATGGGGCGATTAAATAATTTCCCAGATGCATACGCTAAGAAATCAGGAAAAGTTTAATATAAAATATTGCTTGAATCTCTTCCAAAGGGGTGATGCATATCTTTCTCATATTGGTATTGTTATTTAGCGAAAGAATTTGTTAAATTTACGTTACACAAAGACTAATATGGGCCATAATTTTAGAATATACTAGAATAACAAAATGCTGCACAATACTGACATGTGATCTAAATTATATTCTATATCTATTAACTAGACTTCACTTTATAAAATTTCCTATTTGTAGCTGTAAACTAGTTAGACCCACTTATTTAAGAACATAAGATTCTTTAAATACTGACGTAGATTTTAAACCAGTTTAAATAAAACAATATAATATAACAGGAATCGTAAAGCTTCCAAAATTTCTCGATAAGCAATTCTTTCATCTGGATGAGACAGATAAATTTTTATTTACTTCAGTTTGTGATTTTATAAATGAATAAACATTATAATATATTTAAGTAATTATTTAGGTTACCATAGCTTGTGTCGTAAATCGTCAGTAACTTGCTTATTATGGCTCATTTCTTAGAAAAAGTTTTGACCAGCGTCATAGGTACCTTTGAGAGTAAACTAACCCTAATTAAATATAAGCCTCTATGGTCAAAAACATCTGGACGCATCAGTTGCAATTTATCTTTGCTATAAAATAATTTTTATAATAAAAAATACTTCATTGATTATCTGAATTTCTATAAGCATAAGTTATATGCTACTAAAATAATATTATGCGTATATTTGTTCATTTCACCTAGTTCATCAATTTATGTACAATTACATTATACGAATGAGAGTAGGGTTTCGAGACTACCAGTAAATCAGTGTAATGAGATGTATTCACCCTATTTAGTCTAAGGTGGTGAAGGACTGGTAGTAGAAATTTCCCACAATGATATGAGTTGAGCTAACGTTTTCCATTGAATTTCACATAGTCTTGATTTCCCAGAAGTTGTTCTCATCCAGGGTGGACTGCAGTCTCGACTTCGCATCAC